TGAAAATTCCTGATTCACGGCTTATATTTGAATCATAGACAACAAGTTCAAAAAATTGTATTATACAACATCTGAGAAAAACTTTATGGCTGTCACAATCATTCGCTTGCCTACCTTGCATACGTTATTTTCATCGGGGTATAATTTTTTATCCGTTTTAACTTCTTGAACTGGATAAGTTGTTAGGGGTACACAAACAACGTCACCTTCCACACGATATAAATATTCTCTTCCAATAGCCTTTGCAAAAGCTCTTCGAATCTAATTCTGTCCAAGGAACTTGATCAGGTATTTGCCTACTTATAGTACGATCCCAGTTAAGGTGTTCAGGCCTGTCTCCCAAATATCTGGAACCTTTCTGATGCTCAACGTTAGTTCACGAGTGTAATAAGGCAGACTTGCTAATACACCCAGTCCGCTCGTCCATGTTCTTATACTTGCCTAGACTTCTCTCTCTTCTGAACCATCACTTATACAGAAAGACCAGTTTTTCTACGAACGCCACGGTATTGTTAACAGTTTATACGTTTTTGTCCCTTCAATCATAGTCAGCAGATGTGACTCTGCAAAACTTCCCTGCAGGGGGCAACGCCCTCCCGCCTCTCGAGTCAGCCCCAGAATGGGACAAACCTTTAGTCTGCTCTGCACTTCAGAAAGTTCTGATGCGAACCCTGCCGTATGGGCGCAAACCGACTGCTGGGTATCATGGAAGTGGTTTACTAGGTAGTTTGTGGAATTGGTTTACTAATCAAGGTAGTTTGCGGGCAAGCGTTTCAACACTGTCTCTGCTGTACACAACGACGAGAGTCATATTGGAATGAATCCACCTCATTGTCTGGCAGAATTGACAATTCTACGCAGCCTTTTATCCTGGGAGTTCAATGCCCCATGCAGAGCTAAGGTTTGCTTCGTGCCTTCCAGCAATTAGTGTTCTTCCGTGGGATCTCCTTGCACTGATATGCTTGTTTGTATCAATTATTTGGGATACATGTCGCCTGCTGGTACTTTTCGTAACGAAAAGCTACTGAGTTTGTCTCCGGTTAATCTGGTAATTGTTACTTTATTTCATGAGTTATATTTAGCATTTGGTCACATTTGATACTCTGGTTACCTTTTGAAATATGCCTGTGACATGATCGGCACGATCACCTACGATAATATGTATTTTTTTATCATTATATTTTTATGCACGTAAGATTTGCTGCATCTGCAAGGGCTATTAATTTACAGACAAAACGATTCAAGTTACGGTATGGTTCTGAGAGTTTTAGATTAGCAATCCAAAGCTTTTATTTTTTATGCACGTAAGATTTGCTGCGTCTGCAAGGGCTGTTAATTCACAGACAAAACGATTCAAGTTACGGTATGATTCTGAGAGTTTT